TGCAATTAATTACTAGACACACAAGTTGCTATGATACTACTCACTAAGAGCTCTCAATCTTGCTACACTAAAGAGCTCTACTAGATAAACTTAAATAACAAAACAAGCTCTCAATTCTAATTACATTAAAGAGCTTGCCACAACTAGTTTGTAAGAATATAGAAGGGTGATTAGGGTGATTATACCGCCGTGTAGAGTGATGAACCAATCACAAAATGAAGATGAAATCAATCACCGGAAGAATTCTAAAGGCAAGAGACAATCGATTTTTTCTCAAGATTCACGTGCTTACCAACACGCTACGTTCCCGTTGTATCGATCAACACTTGATGGTTCAACGGCTAAGAGATGTTGCACAAACCTCGTCCACATAATTGGACACTATAAGAACCTATCTATAAGTGAGGTAACTCAATAACACGAATTTCTTTACCCAATCGGCCCGGGTGAAGACCAACCGAGCAGGAGGGCGAAAGTGACGCAGTTTCCTTCTCTGACTGACTGATCTTAGTGATCTTCTCCCTCGAATTTTTCTTCGTGCTTAGTGCCTATACTGTGCCGTGCCTGCTTGGAAAGCACGAAGGAGAAGATCAACGCCGCCGCGGTGTGGTTGTGTGGACTGTGGAGTATTATTATAAACAACAAGATGGGCAGAGCCCCGCGCCGGCAGCTATAGCAGCCAACGCGAAACTTCAGCTTCCGCCGTCCTCCTCCCGAACCCAAACAAACCTAACCGCCAGCCACCTGTCAAGTACTCGTTCGGTGCTTCCCCATCTGCGTCCCCCGAGGCGTCCGGAACCGCGAGGCCGTCGCCGGCGCGCGCGAGATTTGAGCCGAGGCTATGGAGTCCCCGTTCCGGGCGGACGTGGTCAAGGGCAAGGTGGCGCTGGTCACCGGCGGGGGATCCGGCATCTGCTTTGAGATCGCCGTCCAGCTCGCGCGCCACGGCGCGCAGGTCGCCATCATGGGCCGCCGCCGGGAGGTCCTCGACAAGGCCGTCACCGCGCTCCGGGACCAGGGCCTCCGGGTGCGTCCCCCCAACGACTCCCTACGCCGCGGTTCTTGGGCTGCCTTGGCTTGCTTTTGCCGGCCACCCTTCCTTTTATGCTTTCTGTTCGTTATTTAGTTGGGAAAAAACGATCTTTTGCTCTCTGGTTATACTAGCTTAACTAACGTTACTAGCAGTCATCAAGTTGAGTTGCTAGCCGTGCATGTTGCTTGTCATGTGGTAAGGAATATTGGTCGGATTGCTATTCTCTAGAATTAGTTAATTGACGAATGCAGTGCATCAAATCGAACAGCTTAGATGTTTTCAGAACTGAATGTGCTTGTGCCTAACTAGTGAAATAAAATCCTTATGCTAGCTCCCTGTAGTGATCTTAGTGTGCTCATCTTGAACCATGGTTCTTTTATGATAAAGATATAAACCAGCGTTACCCTTTAATCATCCAAGATTGGTGTGACATGCAGGCTGTTGGTTTCGATGGAGATGTCCGCAAGCAGGAGGACGCGGCCAGAGTGCTCGCTGCAACAGTTGCGCATTTCGGCAAGCTTGACGTTCTTGTCAACGGTGCAGCTGGAAACTTCCTTGCTTCCCCAGAGGATTTGACGCCCAAGGGATTCCGTACTGGTACTTCATCAAAGCGTGATCTTGTTTCCATTCAGATTCAGTGGAGCTCTTTGTTACCATTGTTCTCAATTGTCAGCGACACACTGAGTCTTTGGTTTGGGCGATTGTCCTTGCCTTCTAGATCCATGCCTTTGCTAGATCAAAAACTTGCTTATTTTACTTTGCTCTCTGCAGTTCTTGAAATCGACACTTTGGGTACGTACACAATGTGCTATGAAGCCCTCAAGTATCTGAAAAAGGATGGGCCAGGAAAAGTCCCGTCCACTGGTGGCCTAATCATTAACATAAGTGCAACACTGCATTACAGTGCGTCTTGGTACCAAATTCATGTCTCTGCTGCTAAGGTACCTGGTTCTTCTCTGAACCACTCCTTAATAAGAGAAAATAATTGGAAGAAGCAGATTTTTTTCTGATGGATTGGTTTGTATAGGCTGGGGTTGATAGCATCACAAGATCACTGGCTCTGGAATGGGGAACAGATTATGACATTAGAGTCAATGGGATTGCACCTGGACCAATTCAAGACACCCCAGGAGTGAGGAAACTTGCACCTGAAGAGATGAGCAAGGGGCTGCGAGAAATGATGCCATTATTCAAATTTGGGGAGAAGCGGGACATAGCAATGGCTGCACTCTACCTTGCTTCTGATGCAGGTTGGTTCTGCTGTTCTACATGTTTCCTAACCAGATTATTATTAGTCAGATACTCTCAGAATTTCAACAAGAATTGTGCTCTGTGCACCACTTACCCGAAGCCTGAAGGTCATATCATAGATCTTGTCTACAGAGCTAATAGAATTAGGTAGCTCTGTATTGTGGTTTTTGTTGTTTTAGGTGTAATCTGAAGGAATCAATAGAGCCGTGAAACGCTTAGAATTCTTCTGAAACACAGACATTTGACATATTTTGTAATCTTGTTTGCAGGCAAATATGTAAATGGGACCACACTGGTGGTTGATGGAGGTCTTTGGTTAAGTCACCCTCGCCATATTCCCAAAGAGGAAGTGAGGGAGCTCTCAAAGGTTGTCGAGAAGAAGGTTAGGACCTCTGGTGTTGGTGCGCCGACCAGCAAATTGTGATTGCATTGCATCTGTAGTATCAATCAATATGTTATTACAAAACTTTATTGTCTATGTGGCTCTTGTAATCTAACTAGCGAGTTTGTTTAATTGAGTAAGTTCAAATATTTACAGTACCTTTTCACTTCTAAGCTCCATTGGGAATGTTTTGATTATAAGTGTTGCCAGCCAAGATGTTTGTCGCCAAATGTTCACATATGTCACAAAATACAGCATTATTGTCCCTCAGTGAGGATAAATATATGTGTCAAACATTGCAAATGGGCACTTCAGTTGTAGCTACTGCAAAATCAGGAAAGTTAGAGGATTTATATATGTGTAACAAAACATGTAACAACTATATACCATATACCCAGTGTGAACACAATGAAGATCTTCAAGAGAGAGAAAACCAGACGCTGACAGGCAAACAAAGTTGTGTGATTCTCCTCCTGTGCCTCAACTGCCGCATGAGAAGGAGAGAATCATTTCTTTGCCTTATAAGTCACTATGATGGTGCCGTGAACTCCTTTGGAGGTATCCAGTTTAAGAAAAAGCTCTTCTACCATCTTGTTCTGCTGGTCTTTGATCATGACTCATGGATGATGATCTGAAGTTCTGAACTCTGACTACACCAGTTCACAAGCTTCTTTCTGAAAAAATCTCCCCTAGGAACTGTCTTGTAAGGCTGGGCAAATCAAAGTTTCTGAACTAATTATGATTATTACATGAATCAATGCTTTCATCTTAGAACTTAGAATGCAGTATCTATGAAACGACTGATGATATGTGGTGAATAAGCAAACCTATCCCATATTCCCATCTCAGAAGGATTTAAGTCAGTATGTGTCTCTTTGAATTAGGATATTGAAATTTGCAATGATAACCGAAAACTGTAACCCAAGAACTTCACTTCGGTTCCAACAACAAAATCATAGCAGGATATATGTGAGATGTCATGTATTTGACTATGCCTGACATTAAGTAGGTGTGTAGTGTGGACCTGAGGCTACCTATGGAAACTGGAAAGCATTATTGGCCCTACTTATTCCATGTCTTGGTCAATTCTAGCCTTGTCATCTTATAGATGCAGCCTATATGCAAAGCTCATCATCTGCTATGGGCAGTTACCAGTCCACAGCATGGTTCTTTGTGCCTTTCAGCATTGCCATTTTCAGTCATCTGGTGCCATCTCTGATACACACATGCTGCACAACATGCGTTACTTGCAAGTAGTTGATTCACAAGCACATACTGTTGTTGGATGTGATAGTTTGCCTGATAGAGATCTGTAGCGTACATGCTCGGCTCAAAGCCTGCTCCATACATACTAATTGATAAATGAACAGACAATAGAAAGTTAAGTACTATAAACTTCTCCATTTACTTAATTTCTGCATTTATAGTTTGATATTTTCCTTATCTGTGATATCTAGTGGGACAGCAGGACAGGTGATGATGTGAACAATGACTTTCAGAAAAATAAACTCGAGATAAGGAACTCTGCAGACCATGTATAAAGGCGACCAGCCCCCCTTTGCTTCCCTCTATCTTCAGAAGAAGCAGATACAGGTGATACCACTCCTCCATGAACTCTCTCTCTCTCTCTCATATTCTCATCCTGCAACTTAGCACAAGAATATTTTGCGCAAATGCTGTTTTGTCTGATTTTATTTTATTTATAGACCTGCTCATGCTTTAATCCATTTGATCTTCATGAAAGTTTGATTTTTCTGAAATATAAGCACTGCACACTTCTAGCATTTGTACCTGTATAGATAAGTTTCCGTTGTATTGCTTTCATCTCTCATGGCTTTGATGATTTGAAGCCATTTGCTATCATCTCTCATGACTTTGATGATTTGAAGCCATTTGCTATCATCTCTTGGGCATGCATATGAAATCTTTTCATCTTCTTGTGCTTATGAAATCTTTTCATCTTCTCAAGCTTTTTAAATCCATTGATCTTCATGAAAGTTTGATTCTTCTGGACCAACCGTTCCTTTTGTTGAAGTTCAAAAATTAGGGAATTAAATATAAGCACTGCACTCCACAGTTATACTATCTTTTGTGCCTGCATGGATAGCTTTCCAAGTTTCTATCCTATCCTGCATCTGAAAGACTGAAACTATTTGTTACTATCTCTCATGATCTTGGTGATTCGAGACCATTTACTTTTATCTCCTCTCGCACATATGAAATCTTTATTTACTTCTTATCATGGTTGTACTTTGGTATCCTGAAGCATGACTGTTATATTCAGCATATGTTCTGGTAGGTTGAATAGGAAAGAAGAAGCACCAAGCTGTACCAATGGGTCGTGGAAAAGTAGAGCTGAAGAAGATTGAGAATCCAACAAACCGCCAAGTTACCTTCTCCAAGAGGCGGATGGGGTTGTTCAAGAAGGCAAACGAGCTAGCCATTCTTTGTGATGCGCAAATCGGAGTCATAATATTCTCTGGAAGTGGCAGGATGTATGAGTACTCCAGCCCTCCATGGAGGTGCGTGAAACATTCTTTCCCATTTCATATCATCCATCCTTCTGTTCATTTTCATCTTTGAGGGAAGTAGAAATTTTAGATATGGCGTAGTTATCGCTATGGTATTTGTCTTGTCATATAACAAAGATCATGTGGTTGAAGTTTCTTACCATCCTTAGGCTTGTTTAGCAGTCCTGCAATTTTACAAATTATTCTTTTTTTACTATCTCCAGTTGAACAAATTATGTATACATTGTTTTCAATTTTTTGTGGGACATGTCTTGCAATATACAAGATTCAGCTTATTTTTTAGTATGGTTTTGGTAAAACACCACAGTATCATGAGCAGTTTAAAACTGATTTGTTCCTACCACTTGTAATCTTTTAACTTAGCATACAGCATGTGACCTTTTAACTTTAGGAATATACACTGGTCTGCGCAGACAATGCGACATCGATCAGCTAAGTGGTACAAGACTGGTACCATGCTAGACATCCTTCCATAGTGAGAGACCGTCTGGAGTTCTATATCTCCAGTTAAACATTCTTAAATCATGCATTTGCTGTTTCTTTTTTTGTTGCAGAGTAGCAAACAGGTTTGACAGATACCTGAAAGCCTCTAGCATTCCGTTTTCATTTTTATGGGAAAGAGTAGTTTCAGATGTGGTGTAGTTACGAGTATTGTTGTTGTCTTGACATATTTTTTCAAGACACCTTGTGGTAGGAATTTCTGGAGTTTGTTTATCAACATACAAGATTCAGCTCATTCTGCTATAAGGTTTTTAACTTTAGTAATGACATCAAAGTTTCATGAGAGCTTCAGAACTGATTTGTAATTATTCTTGACAACTACAATCTTATGACTTGGCATACATCATGGGACGTTTTAACTTAACATATAGTCATATACAGTTTGAAGCCTTCAATAAAAAAGAAGAGATGATGATCAGCTGTGTGGTATAAGACTGGTAGCATATTGCCAACGGTTGATAGTTTCAATCATAATTCTTTTTGACCGAGTGCCCATCAGGGGTTTTACAACGTTTTTATATCATACTATATATTATTGCTTATTCTGGTTGCAGAATAGCAAACATCTTTGACAGATACCTGAAAGCCCCTAGCACCCGTTTTGAGGAGATGGACATCCAGCAGGTACGCCGATTCTCTTGAACCAAGACACTACGATGTCTGTGTTTCCACTGATGTAACATAATACTCTCCCCTCCTTTTCCGTGAAGAAAATCGTCCAGGAGATGACTAGGATGAAGGATGAGAGGAACAGGCTGAGGATGATCATGGCACAGTACATGGGGGAGGATCTGGCCTCATTCTCCGTGCAAGATCTGAGCAACCTTGAGCAGCAGATCGAGTTCTCGCTCTACAAAGTTCGCCTCAGGAAGGTAACTAAGCACTAACTAGCACGCTGACAGATAGATTGATGGAGTAGCCTTGTAGGTTCTTAGTTCTTTATCCTTGTTAAAAAAACACTCTTGGGAGACGCCTTAGTGCTAACGCTGAACACCCCTGTTTTGTTTCTGGCAGCAAGGGCTACTTGACCAGCAGCTGCTCGAGATCCGCCAAAGGGTACTCTGCATTCCTCCCTCTCTTGGTAGCCTCTACACATCTCTGTTTCAAAAGAACCGAGTTGTGACACACAGAGTTCTCTTTCGTCCTGAATTTCCACAGGAGATGCACATGCCAGGAGAGCAGAGCGGGTACCTGTGCCTCATGGTAAGAAGACTGAAGACGGCTGGCCCTTCTCCTGACCTCCTCAAGTGATCCCCCTGTTTGTTCCAAAAATTTTCCGCACCTGAATGGACCTGCTTGTGTGGCTTTGACCTGTGATGAAAAAACAGAACCCGGCTATTGCTAGGGGGCAGCAGCAGCAGGCTCAGGCAGGCGAGATGGTGGGAAACCCGAGGCCGTTCCCGTGGTGGGACGTGGGGGCCAGTGGCAGTGGCACCCAGAGTCAGCAGCTGCTGCCCGGCCGGGACGCGGCGGAGTCGTCGATGACGGCGTTGCAGCTGTCTCCGCAGCTGCAGGAGTACAGGCTCCAGCCGCGGCAGGCCAACCTGCAGCAGGACGCCAACGTCCATGGCTGGCTGTGGTAAGCTCTGCTCTGCCTGTGCTTTGCTGTTGGGACAGGAGTTCTGCATGCATATTATCGACCGTACGTTCTCAACTCTGACGGACGGGATGGCGCTGATGCTTGATTGCCTGCAGATTTGCTGGGGTCGTGGTCCTGAACGAGACGCTGAACGTGCTTGTGACCTGTTCTAGTCCTTGCAGTCTTCCATAGCCAACGTGCCCTGCTGAAAATAAACTTACTGGAGTTTCCTTAAATTTGTGCTGGGTTGTCATCGCGTTGCTCGTGTTGGGATGCCGTGAACGAGTAGCAGTAGCAGTAGAAGTAACAGTAGTAGTAGCGACAGCACAGCATCTTTGCCTTGTTGCTTTTGTATTGCCAAGGATGAGTCTGGGTGCTTCAAATGTTGGCTTGCATAGTTACACTTACATCTATGCAGTGTTTGGAGTACCCGAAGCTAGATTGAGAGAGAACGGCCGGGCAAGCAACGTACCCGGTCATTGAGGTATCCGGTCAAGGCAAGGCCGACATGCTACAACGATCTTGAGTATGTTGAGCAATTCCGACATACGGCGAGTAAATAAACCGACTGTACTGCCTTTGACGCTAATAATGCCCGTCCGTAGTGCACCAGCAGCATCTCAGACGCAGATACTGAACTAGAACATAAAATTAGTAAATAACGCTAGTAAACTTTTGGTCATACATTAACAGGAATCAATCACTCAAACCATTCAGTACTACATGATGACACTCGTAAGTTTTCTTCCTACACTCTGGTGAAAATAAATGCAAATACTACATGATGACTCAATCACTCAAACCATTCAGTAATTAACTACAGTGGATGAAAAATTGTTCGCGTTGAACAAGGATCGAATGTACATACATTAACAAGAACGATAGATAGAATACACGTATAATAACAAGAATGAAAGATAGAATACACGTACATTAACATGACGAAGCCTCGAATCAGCAGATTGCTAAACTGAAATGACACGAGAAACATCGGCCACAAATAGGCGGCCGATGAATGAATGTTTTGAAACCTCAACCTACAGTACAACAAGCACTCGAGCTCGAGTGCACCCTGCCTACATTCATCTCCAATCATAAGAATCAGCACGATGCGCTGATTATTTATTGGTAGACATGCTATTGGATGGGCCCGAATCGGACCCAACCAGAGATGCTCCTGCCGTTGGCTGTTGCCCTGCTCAGCTCAGCTCAGCTCAGCTCTGTATCCTTTTACTGCTCAACTACCTCCCCTGCAGGAGTGCCAACAGAAGAGTCCCTCGCCTGCACCGCAGTTTGCCCCAGAGCGGTGAAACTTGGAGGCAGCTGGTACAGAGGGTCACTCCCCTCAGATTCACCCAGGTAGGCTTGCCCCAGACAGTAGCCCAATGCCCGGGCAACAGGGACAGCTACTGCGTTCCCGACTTGAATATACCTATCGCCATCAGAGAAAGCACACATGTTCAGAGGCAAGGATTACAATGCAGCATGATTCCGCTTCTGATTTCAAGAGCTGTAACTGGCTGATCAATGGCTTACTGCTGACAACTTTCAAGAGTGACTAGATCAGGTACAGGCAAACTGAAAGGAGGAACTTACTTCTCCTTGATCGGGCCAAACAATCGGTAGTAATCAGGGAAGCCCTGTAACCTTGCGTTCTCCCGGATAGTCAGGACTCTTGCTTGAGTCGGATGCAATATAACCTGTGGACAACATGTTCAATCAATATCATATCCGGACTTTGTTCCCTTATCTAAAAAAACACTAACGGTAAATACAGTTGCAGGGATTAGCATAAAGGGCTAGTTTGTACTGAAGCTGACCTGGTTGTGAGGCTCTGCTCTGGTTACAACTGTAGGAACTGTCTCGTCCCACCAAAGGCGCCCAAATGGCCTACATCATCATATGTAAGGACAGGTATCCAATAACCTAATTTTTTCCAAAAAGAAAACAAAGAAAGCAGAACCATTTTGCAACTTACTTGAGTGATTTGCCCTTGATGAATGACATTGCATAGTCAGGAACCTAGATAATAAATATTTGTGCAAAATCTTATCATGTCTTAACCATGAATCTTACAGTAGTTGCAGCATCTCATCAGAATATGTAACATAAATGTTGCACGTTATGGAAACAACATCACGAAATAACACATACCAGTGGTTTCCCAGATGAAAGTTTCACACGCTCAATTTCTGGATCCCACTCAACAATATTGTTTGCTCCAACCTTCACACCCTTTAGGTCACGGAAGTTGGCTCCCTGTCATAGGAAAGAGTGATTATTGTTTCAGAAGGAGAAACAACAAAGGAAGGCACAAATTCTATCAAGCCACCAACCTTCTTGACAGGAATTTGCTGAACCCGCTCATAATCATCATTGTTAAGCCGTAAGGGCTGGTGATCCAAGAGCTTGCCTTCATCTGGACCAGCCTCGTCACCAAAGGACCAGTCCAACATGTCTGGAAGAATGATAAGAATGAGCTTGCTGCAGAAGTACCAAAGCACCAAGAAAAAAGGTGGTTCTTCTGAAATTCATGGAGAAGGTCAACCAGTAATGTTCACTTGGCCTTTTACCTTTACGACCAAGTCGAATGTAACGCTGGAATTCCGTCTTGGGGGAACCACCATACTCCATTACATCATTAGGTTGATGGTTTCCAACCTGCAGATTAGAGTAAGATTGCATGCGCGTTGAGAAATGTATGAACTTGACAAAACACTTGCCTTTGGTAAATCTGAAATTGCATCACCAAGAAGCAAAGCTTTCTTCAGGTGTGGTTTTTGTTTCTCGTCATATGCAACCATACATTGCTGTAAAAAAATTCGGTTGGTCAACAGATTTTACACATTCCAAAGGATTTCAAAGTAGTGATTGCACTTACTGAAAAGGCATTAGGGGCTCCTCCACGTACTACAACATCATATGTAGGCAGAGGATACTTAGGGAGCACCTACATTGTCAAATACAACTGATTAGCCAGCAGTCAACAGTGCAATATAAATGTAGCAAAGCATATAAAACAGCAAGGTAAGAAACAGACCATGGAAGGAAGAGCACCCCAGAGGAACACACGCATCCTGAACTGTGGCAGACCATAGCAGCCTGCCACCATCATTCCAAGGCGTGCTTGGTACTTCATAGCAACTAGGCAGCTCAAAGCATATTTTCCTAGGTAGCCATCAGCAAATTTGAGTATGTCCACAACATTTTCCATGAGAACATACTTGGGCTTCAAGTAAGCCACAATATCCATGAAAGTCACCATTTGCTTGTTTTTCTCATCTTTAAGTGGCTCATCACGGTTTCTGAACCGATTAAACCCACTGATACCTTGACATGGTGGGCCTCCACATATGACATCAACATCACCCTTTTGAAAGAATAGATTAGGTAGATATCACCAAATAAAAATGGGGAGCTAAACAAACAGGGAGGAAAACCACACCCAACTAAATACTCACAGGCAGCGGGAGAATTTTTCTTCTGTGCCCTTCTTGTACAAATTCTCTAATTTTCAGCGAGCAGTCACTGGTTTTTGAAACAAGGATTAGAGTGCAAATAGATGTACAAGGCAACAAGCAGATGACATACCAAATACTAACCTCAGGTTATCAATCGGTTCCCATGTATCCTCTTCAGGACCATATCCTTCCCACTGGACCTGCAGAAATCTAGCATTAGTATGCGGCGTAAGAAGGGTGCGGCTGTGACTGCCGCGTAGGTTGAGGGTTGGCCCGCCTTAGTCGCTCCATTCTATGGCCATATAGTACATTTTAAATGGACTTGCTTGTTTAGTGTTCCGGTCTTGCTGGTGACTCGCTAGCAAGAATGGAAACACTGTTGTAACCTTTAAAACTTCCTGATCTGCGACGAGGCCGACTCATGGATCGCCGCGGGGTATCGGAGTCTAGCAGCGCTCTTCGCCGCGGTGAGCTAATTAGCGTCGGTGCTTTGGCTTTGTCGCAACAATTGGTTAGTTAGTACGCCTGTTTAGCTGCACCGTTTGAGCCGGTGACCTTTGTCAGTGTGCAACCGTGCAACGACCTCCACATCTCCCTGTCGTTCGCCGCCGGTTTGTGTTGTACCATCTCTAACCTCTCTTAATAAAGCACGTGCAAAGCACGTTTTCGGAAGAAAAAAAAACTTCCTGTCTGCTTAACGGGCTCACCCGATCGAAAAAAAAAGAAATCTAGCATTACAACAAAATACATAGAAATATCCATTGGTTGAAAAGCTTAGTTTTTTCTATATTGCCATAGAAATTGAACTTCTTTTCTTGGAATCAATAACAGATGAACAGATAACGCTTAAGTACCTTAAAATAGATGCCGTTTTTCCTTCCACTACCACCATAGCATATCCCAATAAGCTTCTCTACAACAAATTCGTCCTTGTCAAGAGGGCTGCCTTCATCCTCTTGATCCTCTGAACCTGCTAAATTCGAATCCACATCTTGATGGACATATTTCTCACATAGGACTGCCCATTCCTTGAGGAGAGCAAGAAACTCATCGGCTTTCTCATTTCGCACCTACATTCAAAGATCCAAAGGAACTTTGTGAGCAGCTGGACAGAACAGATGGAATCCAAGATGCAGTTTACTATCCATACCTCAGTCTGTGGATGATTGTACTTTAAACTTTGGCACGCAAAACTGTTAAGATCAACAGCCCATCGCTGCAAATCATAGCCAGAACAGTAGAATTAGTGCTGAGATCATGAACATATTCTATCCAACAGATAAATAGGTAGACGATTACAGTTTCAAGTTTCAAGCCAGAAAGAGCTGCACCCAAGCAAAGACCAGTGGACATGCCCCCGCAGCCAGAATACAGATCAAGAAGGGTTGCTGTCCTCTCTGGCATACTAGATGGCGTCTCCAAATCCACATCATCAGAAGAAATACCCGAAGCGGTTTCACTGCCTGACTGCCCATTTTCTAGTAAAAAAACAAGTGTCAGGGTTTGTAAAAAACATACACATTTAACAAGTATCAAAGTTAGTCACTGTAGACTGTTCAAACCAGTTTTAGTTATTGAGCTACATACACCAACCATTGCACTCACAAGCCTAAGCTGATAAGGAAATTGCGCAATTCAGATATATTTAATACCTATCACATGGAAGCTCCCCCTCACGTGAAATAGAAGTAGACAACAAATCAGTGTATAAA